CGAGAACAACCAGTCAACGACTACAGTAATTTAGTTAGGTATCTAGTATTTTCACTCTCTGCGACACATGAGATCCCTAGTGTTCAGGTATGGCAGTGCCTAACGTAAGATTGTCGAGAACAACCAGTCAACGACTACAGTAATTTAGTTAGGTATCTAGTATTTTCATTCTCTGCGACACATGAGATCCCTAGTGTTCAGGTATGGCAGTGCCTAACGTAAGATTGTCGAGAACAACCAGTCAACAGAAGTCGTCGCCTACACGGTTACTCTTTACCGAACAGCGTGACTAACTGTAAATCTTATAAGTCGCCCACAGTTGAAAGCACGGAGCGTGTCGAATTGATATCACGGGCTCGAACCTTGGATATTGCGATCCGCTGCCTGACACGCTAACTAGTAGGCAGGTCACTCTCTGTCCACTTAGGTTAGTATATGACAGCATTTAGCTTCAGCAGTTTATATAATATTACATATACAATGTGTTCAAGTAAACTGTTACCAAGTTATAGCACAACGACTCAACAATTGTTTACAATCCACAAGATACTGTAAAAAATAAAAATAAATCACGTGCAACATTCTTCCACTACTATTGGCCCGGCATGGCCAGGTGGTTAGGGAGCTCGACTCGCAATCTGCTCGCCTTTTCAGCCGTGGGGCATTATAATGTGACGGTCAATCCCACTATTCGTTGGTAAAAGAGTAGCCCAAGAGTTGGCGGTGGGTGGTGATGACTAGCTGCCTTCCCTCTAGTCTTACACTGCTAAATTAGGGACGGCTATTCCATGGTATATTATCTATCATCTGGAACGTAAACGAACCTACCAATGAAATTTACACAACGGGTAACATTTTGATGTATTGCTTTAAATTAAATCAGATGAACAAAAAAGCACGTTAATTATTAAACAATTTGAGCAACGTGTTAAGTCGTAACCTTTGCGAACCGTAAAACTCAATTTCAATCTTAGCGGGAGGATTAAAATTGTGAGTATTCTGCGGCAGTTTGGGTTAGTGTTTTTTGTACAATAATGTGTACATTATCTGTGAACTACTTAAAATGATGTGTACATTATCTGTGCACTACTTAAAATAACGTGTACGTTATCCGTGCACTACTTAAAATAATGGGTACATTATCTGTGCACTACTTAAAATAACGTGTACGTTATCCGTGCACTACTTAAAATAACGTGTACGTTATCCGTGCACTACTTAAAATAACGTGTACATTATCTCCAGAGAAACGGAAAGATAATTTGGGTGAGAGAGTGCACATTTCAAGCACTGCTAATAAATCAATCCTCAAACACTGCTAATAAATCAATCCTCAAACACTGCTAATAAATCAATCCTCAAACACTGCTAATAAATCAATCCTCAGTTAAGAAATGTCCACAAATGGAAAACTAAATGGAATTATCATCGCATTCCCCATATAGAATTGTTATTGATATCTACTAAAGTGGAACATTTGGTAAAGTAGACGAAGGTTTTATACAGTTAAAACAAACAGCAAATGACAGAAATACTGCCTTTAAGATTAAACGTTTCATCTGGGTAGATTCGTGTCTACCTGAATTAATTTTTTTTTACGTGTCGCAGTAACGCTTACAAGAGTATCTAGTACAACTGAAGTATCCTTTTAAAAATATACACAATCTGTAACACGTTTAAGTGTTGTCGTGTTTGCATGAGTTATAATATATTCCGAAGTTAGTAGGTTTGTAAGTTAAAATAATATTTATAAACCAAGACTCATTAATTCTTATAAGCGTATGTGGCCATTTTTTCTTGTGTGAATGATATGAACACAGAAGTCAAAAAACTTCTTAAATATTTCTACAAACTTGATTTCCATAAAAACTGTTCAGTGCTTTTACAAAACAAAAATTGAAGTTAAAACCTACTACCATATTTGTTTCTTTAGTGAGAAAGGGTTAGACTTATGTAGACGAATTACCTTCCTTTTTCAAGCGATCCGACGTTAAAGGAGAGAACCTGGAGCTCCACGTAGTCGCCATATTGGGCACCATCAGCGACAAAGCTGACGATACAAAGAAAAGGGATGTGACGATGGAAAGGCTCAGTGATGTGAAGTTTGTACTTCACGTTGGCTTCCCCATTGAAGGTTCTGTTGCATGCTACAGACAGATAAATTCAGAGCTTAGAACATCTTCCAAAGATTACACAGTCACTTTCTGATTATCTTGTTAAATGTCACTTCTCGGAAAAAATGTGATCAAATCTCAGGGTACTACTTAAAATAATGTGTACATTATCTGTGCACTACTTACAATAATGTGTACATTATCTGTGCACTACGGATTGATTTATTAGCAGTGTTTGAGGATTGATTT